CTGAAATAACAGAGGTTGGGGTGTAGCGAGCTGTAGATCATGTTAAGGCGAGCAGATCTGTGTAACTGGAGGATCTTTGTTAGGAGAGAGAAGGCAACCATTGATGCCTGTAGCTTATTAACCTCTTGAGGGCCACATGCAGTATCCAGACATCATCCATGGTCTGATAGTGTCTATACATGATGTGGGTATCAAATGGCGCAAGGAAAAGTGCAACCACTCTTGCTGCCTGCTGAAACATGTCAGGAGATATGCTGTGAGCTCAGGCTGCCTGTGTTTTTGAAGGCAGAAGTTAAGCTTTGTGAGGAATGCTTATGTGGACGCTTTTGTAAACATGTAGGTATGTGTAGGTAATGCTTACAATAACTTTGTTCAGTATACAAAGAAGGGGTTCTCCAGCCACTCCACAGGATATCAGAAGGGCAGTAACTCCACAGGATAGGAGAAAGGGCATCTTTTAAGAGATACAGATGATGCTTTTTTTAGGTAAACAAAGCATTCAGAAGTTGCCACAATGATTAAAGATAAACACAGTTCTCAAGGGAAGTTTTATGTGTATAAACAAAAGACATTCTTGTTTGTCTTTCACATTCATTTCAAAATTGCGTATAATTACTAAATCCTTCCCATGTGAGCCTTGCAGCTTGTGTTTTTTAACTAGATAATACAGCATATGTTTTAGGACCCATAGTTCCATGATTGAAGTTCGGTGATATCTGCAACGATACTTTTGATTCATTTACTTGTAGTTCAATTTAAGCTGGTTACAAATAGCTATCAATCAATAACTGTTTATGTTTCAAAGTCATTATATGACTTACATCAGGTGTCATCATCAAAATTTTATATTTACAAAAAAAATTGACATTTACAGTTGTCAGTAAAGAAGTGGTATGTTCAGCGTATTATTATAAGTCATTCACATAAACCTTTAATTTCATCTTAAAACTGCATCTTGATTTTGTGTCAGATGGTGGATACTATATGCGAGGAATGGCTGTTCACTGCAGGGAGATTCAGGTGCGACTGCTGAACTGAGCACAGAATTTGAGCACTCATGCTCACCTGCTTCACCTTTTGCTGTTCTTTTTTAATCGCCCTTTTTCTCTCAACTTCATATGGCAGCACTTTTCTTTTTTGTTTGATACTGATCTTGGGAGAAGAAAGAGAAAATGCTGATGAGATTATAATATTTTGGGGAGTGTTGTGCTTGGAGAGGGACAGAGTCTTTGTCCAGTTTTATGCAAGATACCATCATAATAAGGTACGTTATTGTGTATGGCATGCTAACCTGTTAAGGTTCATAGAGATCACCTGACAAGTCCTGTGGTTCATAGACAAACCAATCATTACTGAAATGACCCAAAGGATGTGATTTTAACACAATATCCTTTAATTCAACATCCAGTGTTTGCCTGTGGATAGACTGCAGTGTGGGATTCGGACTGTTCCATCAAGAGACCAATTTTGAAAATAAGCTTCCTGCCATTCTTTATCAGTATTATGAATTCCTTGCCTTATGAATGAAAATACAAGGCAACAGATTATTGTGGATAGTCTTTTTGCCATAATATTTTGTAACACGGTGCTCATCTGAAGCAGCAAGTCATGTTTCAGGGGTGCTGTCTGCCGATGCTTAAATTTTAGTTGAGACCCATGACAACCATATGGAGCAATGTGACAAAGCAGTGGCAACAAGCTTGATGGTTCAATTCAGAAAATATGTTTCACAATAAGAAATTATTTATTTCAACCTGGTGTTTGGGGGGTTTGGTAAGTATTATTTGTGCTACTGAAATAATCTGGTAATCCAAAGGATAAAACAATCACTTCTTCATAGCGCAACGTACAGCTGCTTGTTGGGACTCGGGCCAAACCTTCACCTTCGGATCGTCCACAGCAACTCTACATGTGAGTTTTAAAGGCAGTTTAGGGGAACATAGGTGGTAATTTCAGTTATCTGTCTTTAACGGAAAAAAACAGATATGAACTTAGATAAAAATTAGTAGGGGCAACTACTCATTTTTCATGTACAAAAGGGAAGTTTTCCATGCGTTAAACGTATTACCCAAAAGCAGTGACAGTTTGGGGGCAAAGATGGAATCAAGGAAGTTGAGAAGTCAAGATACAGCTGACCAAAGTTTAAAAACTGAATTCATTTTAAGAGTGTTTTGTTATCCAGGAATTAAACTGAATGCCAGCTACTTCTTAGCAGCACTATATAAATCAAAAGAAATGTGGAAACAAGTCTACGAGTTCCTCCACGTGTCGCTGTCACTGGGTAACAGTTAGCACCTACGTTAGTCACTCCTTTGACGGGCCATGAAATTGTTTCAGCTTTTAAAATGTGTGAGAGAATTAAGGCAGGTGCTGGCACATCATAAATGAAAATCTAACCTTCAGGCTGGTACAGTAGTGACACTGTGACTGTTTGCGTTCTTGAAAACACGTGGCTTGTCAAGTTGCAATAGAATTATTTTGTGCTTTTATATTATTAAAACTCGGTGGGGTCTTTGGGCTGCCCACAAGAAGTGTGAGACTTACAGGCATAAGAAAACATATTAATTATCGGAGCTCAGTATGCAAGTATGTATTTTTGTTGTTGTTACTGACTCTGTGACACTCAATAGCTGTTGGATTACTGAAGGAAGAAACTTGCTACAGAAGGTGTTCACACATCTGCTGTTCGAGAAATCAAATACTGAACAATCTATGATCCAAAAAACCTTAATGACTTCTCTGAAAAACCTCTTGGAATAATAATACTCATAAAAACAGCATACAAAGTCATATTTTCATTTCACAGCAGAACAAACACTCAGCGTTTTTGCATAAAAAAGAAATACCAGAATAGAGTCATCTTCAGTCCATGGGTATTTTTCCTAAGCTCTTACTTAAACCTGAAATCCAGTGAATTGCTCTCCAGCGTATGTCAAGCAATCATTCCTGTTCTCTGAATGGAGTGCTTAATCTTCATTTTCTTACAAGGTTCCTCTTACGAATAGAACTGTTGAATCTTACTACCTTCGAACAACTGTCCAGTTTCTGTCCTGCCTTTTTCCAAAGCTTACACCAGACTGCAAAGTGAAAACGTTACAACTGTATGTGAGGTTCTGTTAAAAGTTCAGATGAAATTACCTAACTCATTATCAGTTTTAGGAAGCCTGCATATTATTCTTACTAACAATAAATTTAATTACTTTAATTACTGATTTAATCACTTGGGGTTTGTGTCACATTCAGCCCCATATGAAAATCTCCTGATACAGCATTAGAGAATTAGAATTATCCGGATACTGAGTGAGAAGAACATATTCTGTTGTATAATCAGAAATGCCTGTACTGCCTGAATATACTTGCTTTCCTAATTGTAGAACTGAAATATTTTCTTCATTTATAATTTGCCTTAGTACGTAGGAAGGACAGCAGACAATACAATAGAATTATTAACTCATTCTTGCTTCTTTCTCTCTTTTCTCTCACTTTCCAAAAGCAGCTCATACATTTGCGCTTTCAGACTGTATTTTGAGGTCTCTTTTGGTGTCACTTTTTTGGGTTTATGTCCAAGATCACCTTGTATGCTAGTGCTATGCAATTTTAATATATTCCAGTGACACTCCTGTGAGGTAGCAAGGTAGTGCTATTTTCCATTATGTAGCTGGGGAGCAGAGGCACAGAAGACTAAGAGCATCTTTCCCGTACCTAACTCTGCCTTGTCACATGGACTCCCTCTAGACAATGGCTACAGTTAGGTGACCCCCCAGTGACTTAGCCTGGATCACACTAAAGTCCGTGGCAGGCGGTGTCCTGAACTCAGATCTTCCAAGTCCTTCATTAGTACTCTTTTTACTGGAACCTATTTCCTTTCTGAAATAAACAAATATATTATGCCGAAGTGCAGGGATTTGAATACTTCTCCTTCCTGTGGATTGGCGAGAAGCATGAACTTTATTATTTTTGTATCACTACTTTAAATTCTTTGCTATTTCTTTTATTAAATTATTGAGAATGTCATCCTTCATCTTGGGTGTCATGGGTTCTGTGCTGATTGCTTTTCACAGATACTACACTCTCAGGGGAAATCGGCACCAAGAAAAAAGTGAAAAGACTGTTAAGTTTCCAGAGGTATTTCCATGCGTCCCGGTTACTGCGTGGAATTGTACCACAAGCCTCTTTGTACCTACTGGATGAGGACTACCTTGGGCAAGCGAGGGTAAGATGGGGCTCCAGATCTCCATTTCTTTTAATAATATTCCAGAGAGTGTCAGTTGTATTTCAGTGTTCAGATGTATGGCTGATCTTTCTTAAATGACCCACGTTACTTGCCCGCCTCACAGCAAACAGCCTGCCCGTTCCTCTTTTACGGTTACAGCTTTAAAGGCTTAGTCTCAAAGCAGCAAGAAAATGTTTAAATCTATTCAGCATTTTCAGATTCTGTTAACTGAAATTATAATCGGGATTTATTAAAGGATGAAGGATCCCTGGCTGAGTTACTGATTTAAGTAAGTGCAGCCTCGACACAGGATTTAGTTCATCCACTTGAAAAAAGACAGCTGTCTCTCAGCTGGTATGGAGCAGCTATTAGGCAAACCACAATAGCTCTCCATAATGGCAAAGGCTAGGAAACTGGGAACATTCACTGCAAAGAACTTCACAGTAATCAAAGTATAATTCTCTTATTTTGCAGCTCTTAGACTTGCTTTGAGTGATATTTTCTAACAAAACTTGCACAACTGATAGAATTGGGATTATGCGCCTAGGCAATTTTTATTCTCTGCAAGAGAAGATTACATGCCAGGTGTTAGAAGGTAATTAAGAATCCAGAACTGGTTTGAATATAGACGAAATGATGGGAGTGAACGCACATTTCATTCACACATTTGCCATTGTAGATCATACAGTTAGTCCAGACTCAGTCTCTTGACTTAACTGATGTAGCTCTAAACACACTGTATATGGTGGTAATGGTGGATTCTTCTGCATGGCTGAGTGGGCTGCACAGAAGCACTGTATCTAAGTTTATAAAAGCTATTCCTGTGCATTGCTTTGTTTAGCAAAATGTAATTCATATTCACCATGAGAGCTAAGATTGTGTTTTACTGTAATAAAAACCTAAGAGAATTTGTACTGAATTGATTTTGGGATATGAAAGAACAATAAAAAAGTTGTGCAGTAAAAGGGAGTATTTTCATAATATTTTGGTTTATATGATTCCATGGTTTGAGCTCCATTTAGAAGGTATTTCAGTATCAGGTTCAAAAGCTCCTCAGTTAAAAGTGCAAGTGATATTTTATGCAGTATAGCTAAATTTGGTTCCTGATGTCTGATATTTCTAATACATAGGATCATAGAATGGTTTAGGTTGGAAAGGACCTTGAAGATCATTGAGTTCCAGTCCCCTTGCTTTGGGCAGGGACACCTCCCACTAGACCAGGTTGCCCAAGGCCACGTCCAGCCTGGCCTTGAACACCTCCAGGGCTGGGGCCTCAACAACCTCTCTGGGCAACCAGTTCCAGTGCCTCACCACCCTTAAAGTGAAAAACTTCTTCCTAATGTTTAATCTAAACCTGCCCTCTTCCAGTTTATAGCCATTCCCCCTCGTCCTATCACTACATGGCCTAGTAAAAAGTCCTTCCCCAGCTCTCCTGTAGGCCCCCTTTAGGTACTGGAAGGCCGCAATAAGATCTCCCCGGAGCCTTCTCTTCTCCAGGCTAAAACAAAACTTTAAAACTGCAGCAACCAATCCTGTGATTGATTAATGTGGAATAATAATTTAAACGTGCCTTACAGTTTCACATAACAGTCATTTGCCTTTTCATATCTGTCTCTTCTAGCACATGCTATCCAAAGTGGGAATGTGGGATTTTGACATTTTCTTGTTTGACCGCTTGACAAATGGTAAGTAATTTTTAAAAAGTTTGTATTTTAATATCTCTCATACATGACTATTCTAAAAATCCCTAATTAATTAATTGCTAAGCGTTTCCAGTTTAGATTACTGGAGAGACATTGGGCATGGTTAATTTCTCTTAAAATCATACCCTTGAACATTTTCAGGCTTGTCCCAGAACGTTCATAATTACAGGATAATGTTTAAAGTGTGTTTTTATCTTAATCTAATCTCCTACATTTGTTATGGTCACCTTTTCAAGGAGGTGTTTCAGTTTCCTTTACCTGGGAAATTCCAAAAGTACTTTAAAGATACCTATTAGATACTTTGGTTGGTAAGTCCAGACCTCCATAATCAGTGGATTTCTATCAACATGAAATACCTTTAACTGAACTTACACTTGCTTCTGCTCAGCAGAAAAAATTAGGAAATTCGTTAAGACGGTAAAAATCTGTGAAGTGTTTTGTCTAAATATATGCCTGCAACACCTCCGCCACCAGGTGACTCCTGAAGGGGGTTATGATCACACCTTTCTACTTTCTGTATTGCTCATAGGAATGAGATCCCTCATTCCTCACTCCCAGTCTAATTAGGTTTGGTTGGGGCAAAAGGTGTAGAAAAAAGGTGGTTTAGAGGGTAATTCAGCTGAGTGACTGGTAGTGAAGAGTGGAAAGGACTGCAAATGGCAAAGGAAGCAAAAGCATAATTCTTCTAAATTACCTTTCTGCGCCCCTGCTCAGTAGTCAAGGCCAAATAAGTTTCCACGTCCTCTTTGTTCATAAATTTATTTTCTTTCCTGAGTTACATTAAATAAGAAAAGACTTCTCAGACATCGTTTATATGTTGTATGCATTGGTTGGTTTGGGGTTTTTTTTCTAACTTTTCGGGACACATTGCTGCTGAATTATGCAGTGCAAACTTTTTTAAGTACTGTGTGTATGTGTAGTTGATTGTACAATACTAATTGGGCTCGATTTTGCCAGTGTTCCTAGTATTGGATTCACAGTAAGGTCAGCATAACATTACAGTGGGACTTGAGACCATAAGTGCTGCAACTCATTTTTTCTTGTCTTCATCATCATTATGAGATGCGATTGTAGCTGAGCTAGGTGCCTGCGTTAATTACATGTTTGTAGAGCCATGTGTAAAATAAAAAAAAACTAATTACAAACTGCTAATTTCTCAGTAATTAATTAGTACAGTATGGCAAACTGAAGTGGCAGAAAAAACGTTTTCCTTTCTGTCATTTCTGGAGGTAGACCTGCATTATGAAGCTGATGTGGTTCTCAAATAAGGCTGTCGAAAGATTTCCAGATATTAATTCACCTTATGTATCATGTTGGAACAGCAAACGTGACTTTATGGCAGCTAGACACAAGAATGGCATTCTACTGGTACAGCCGTACCATCAAATCTTGATTATTTATAGGAGTAATTTGTTTAAGCTACTTTTGAGTATAGGAGCGTGATCTAAGCTCATATGATAGGCGCTAAGGTGATAGGAGCTGACTAATAGTTAGGAAATTACCAAGAGTTTTAGTCTTGCTTGGTTTGTAACTACATATTGAGGGAATCTAAGAGTTGTTCCTTTCTGCTTTTAGGAAACAGTCTCGTAACACTGCTTTGTCACCTCTTCAATGTGCATGGACTTATTCACCATTTCCAGTTAGACATGGTTACATTACACAGGTTTTTAGGTAAGTGCTCATCTCAAAGCCATCTTTAAATGCAGTTTACAGCTTAAGTAGGGCATCAAAGAAGGCACTGGCTTGGTCTTGGTGTAAAATCATGGTGTTGCAAATATTTCAGTAAAACATTTCTGTGATATGTATTAGCGTACAATTTACAGGCACCCAGGTATTTGGTTGAGCACCTATTAAGTGAATGGCGCGACTTCAAAAGGCTCTGCATTGGGCTGAAGCAGCCCAGTACCACAATTACACTGGTGATTTTAAAAAAAAGTGTGTCGTGCAGAGATGTGGCCGGCCAAGTAGGCCCACACAGACAGACAGACAGACATTGCAGAACCTACCCGTGCACAGTACAATTGTGGTGCAGTGTCATTATTTTAGTGACTAATAGACCACTGAGACCCAAGGCAGTTAAAAGCTTATGTGCAAAATTTAACAAATTATATCAAGCTGTCTGCACTGAATAGTGTTGATGAAAGCCCCTGCTGCTGTTACTGCCAACAGAAATATTAGCCCCATGCTGTCAGCGAACCAAAAGAAGAAATTGGCCAAAATCAATTACTTTTTGCATCATGTTTTGAGTGCAGCTGAATGCGGGTTTGTTAGGCTGTCAGGCGGAGTTTCGAGAGCAAGGTCTCTTCTTTAAGACCGCGTAATTGTCACTTCTGGAAAGCATTCCTCCAGTGTGGAGGCAGACAAAATCTCCCTGCCATTTCTGACTCCTGTGGGCGGTTGTGCAGTGGACGCTCAGATAATTCCAGCTAGTGGTGTCCAGGGTTTAAAGGATTACCCACTGTAGCTTCAAATGCTGGAGGCAAACTGAAGGCTAGGACTTTCTGTGGCGTGGCCCATGCTGGAGACGAGTGCCATGGGACCTTTGCCCACTACCTTTCTGCTTGATTAATTTGATAGTGTCTAGGAGAGCGCTTTCTGGGCAAGATCACGTGCAGCTTCCACTGCTCACGTGGTGCTGCCCCGAGACCACCTAATGGCGCGGGCACTGCTGCAAGGAAGAGGTGAGTGTGAAGCACAGACCTCAACAATTTTCTGTGCAAGTAAAAGCTGAGAGTTAAAAGGTTCACCCTTCCAGCTGGACCAGCTCCAGCCCTGCACACTGAAACAAGAGGGACTGGTATTTTAAAACGGACGCATCGATGTGACTAAAATTATCACAGAAGATTTTGCTCTGAATACCCCAATGCTTTATCGATTCTCTGTCTGGAGGATGTAGAAATGCCTTTGACCATTGCTAGGCAATCAAATGACAAATGATGCCAGGATATCAGGGCCTCACCCCCTGCTGCTGTAAAAATAGGTGGTACTGCCTTAATGACATTACTCCCCTATGACAGCAGCGTAAATAATTACACTCCGTTGTGGATAAATTTGCCTCTCTTCCTTATTTATTTTACTCCTGAATGAGAGCCTTCACGAAGGCAAGAAAGAGTTGATTTATGAACTAGACCCAGTATATCCCCTTGGGCCTCACAAATCCTTTCATGCATTTTTTCTCTAAAGGTATCCCAATAAGAGCACCAGTCTAAGTAAGCTACACATATTTGAAGAAACTCCGTAGGCAGCTGACTCTAAAACCTCAAATTGTATTTTAAATCCAGTTCCCGCTTGTGGCCATGGCACTGAGACAAAAGGATCTTTATTTTCTGTTTTGGTTCCCAGTTATGGTTCAAGAAGATTACCATAGCCAAAACCCGTACCACAACGCTGTCCATGCTGCTGATGTCACACAAGCTATGCACTGCTATCTGAGGGAGCCCAAGGTAACGACAACCTTTCATACTGATGTTGCTTTCAGATAATTCTGAAATTTTTTCTCCCAGGATTGAAAAACAAAGAAACCCAAAATAATTTCAGGTAGCAGAAAATGATTGCGTACCTGAAGCTAGCAACAACGCAGCAGCACAGTCAGCTACAGGTTACAGATGCTTTAAACAAGCTGCTGGAGTCACTTATCATCACACAGGCAACATATCAAAGTGCTGTCGTATGAGTTCCATCAGGTTTTACCATGACCGAGTGTACCAGCCGCCTGCGAGTGGCTGAAGCCCTCCCAGCAAAGCCAGTAGAAGGCAGCCCGTGCCCGTGCCTCAGTCACCTCAGGGCATAAGCCACTCACATCGATACTACAAAATACCAAATTTGGCAGCGCAACAGCAGCGAAGGGGAAAACCATTCCCTTTGAGCGAGTCTGTTGCAAGGGTGTCCTCTGCAGGAGTGGGCAGCAGCTTTTGAGGGCTGCAGCAAGTCCTCACAACGTGCCGCTGTGACGTGGCTTTATGTGTTACCAGGAGGCACTCAGTGTAATACTGCCGTGCTGAGCCACCGGGTAAGAATACAACTGATCTTTCTGGCTTGACTTAAATGAAGGGAAGTTCTGCTAGAATTAGCAAATTGTTAGACCAGAATATAGTAATGGTAAGTGAGGACAGGAGCAGGCCTCAGTTTTCCTGTATTTCCATCTCTTGCAAGCTCTGCAAGTCTCTGCTGTCAGAAAATGCAGAGAACAGCCAATATCCAGAACCTGTACCATACTGCTCTTCATTTCTCATTACAGGGTTCTTCTTTCAGCTCATAGACCTATACCCTGTACAGACTCATTGGGCCAATAATAAGTGCATCACGGTCAGAAGCAGAAAATGCTAAGACTTCAATTTTTTTTTCCTAATAATAACAAAATTTGCTTCTGAATGATAAGCTGGATAGTAGAAAATATTCTGGGCAGGTTTTCAAATTTGGATGTCTGAAGTTAGAAAAGTAAATTGTGTTCTCTAATAAAATAAGTACAGTTGAACTGAGATATCTAACAGCCAAGTTTGAAATTTCAAAAGTTTATAAACTCTGCATTTTGCAGCACAGTGCTGTGCTAGAAAATGAAGCCAGATGTATTGTTGGTAGTACTAAATACTGTGTGAGGCATCCTTATCACGTGTGGTAACGTATGCCAACCTGCTGGTATACTTATTTAGCTTTTAAAACAGAATCTTTTAGACTAAGATCAAGCACTTACACTCTGACAAGCCTTATATTGCCATAAATTATAGAGATAGGAAGTACAAACTGTAATAAAGTATGAGTATATGGTCTGATATCTTTATAGATGTTTGTTCAACAGTCACCTTAAAAACATCTTTCACAAAATTTATTTTATATGGACATTTGTGTAGTGTCCTACAAAACTGAGCAATGCCATGACGTTAGCTGATTCCTTTATTTGCCAAAAGAAAGTGTTTACTGTTCATGTTCTTGTTGTGATTAATGTGCGTGATTCAGCTTGCCAACTTCCTCACGCCGTCGGACATCATGCTCGGACTGCTAGCTGCTGCGGCTCACGACGTGGATCACCCAGGGGTCAACCAACCCTTTCTCATCAAAACTAAACACCACCTTGCCAGCCTGTACCAGGTGAAACCTCTCATCAAGTTGATAGTATGTAAAATGGTGTCAGGGAGAGTCTAAGCAATTTGCAGTGAACTTTAATGCCAAAATCTGGCAGCAGGGGGGTGTTGATCAAATCAACCTGCACTTTAGAGTCTGGACAATTTTGGTTAAGCTCTGCACTGGGTATCTCTTCTTAACAGCAAAGCTGATACACATAAGAAAGAAGGTGGAAATGACAGATTTTGTTGAGGACATTTAAGCCAAAGCAGTTGCCTGGATTATTTCTGCTGTAGATCATCTGGGGTAAGGAACTGTGGGTAGGAGATTTAAAATCACGGCGAGACAATTTATGTTTCATCTTCCTTCAGTGAGCAAGTAAGCAGCAGGCGTGTTCTAAATTGGTGTTGCATTAAAAGAAACATTTGCTTCATGTGGCTCTAGTAAAATTAAACACTTAATGAACACTGCAATTTAAAAAACAAAAAATAGAAGATAGAGGAAACCAAAGGAAAAGTTGTAGATATTTACACAAATGTGCCCAGAGATACAAAGAAAGAACTTAAAACCAGCCACTGTAGGTCACACCACAGGCTGTCTAGGCCAGTATCCTGTTTCTAAGAGCAGCCAGTAAAAGATCTCAGAGAGAAACATAAGCCTGGGATAAGTATAGAGTTGCCCTTCACCTGGTATACGTCCTCCCACCTCTGGCAATCAGTAGTAGAGGACTTCCTGAAACAAAAACACAGACCCTCTTGTTCAATAACTACTAATGAGCCCATCCAGCCCTGATTTTTGTGGTCCTTTTTGAATATATTTGTAGTTTTGGCCCACAGAAATCACTGTAGCTCTGTATTTTATCTACAACAGTCCTATGTGTATAATCTTTGCACGCACATCTCTATTCTTTACATTATACTTACATATATGCACCAGAGCAATGCCGTAAATCATTTGGGTTGCACTAACTAATTCATAGCTAGTAAATGGAGATGATACTGATTTCTAGCCTGTGGAAGAGTCAACTTCAGCCTTTGTAACAAGGTGTCGGAAACAGAATATCCCAAGTTAAAAATTAATCTAATTTGAAGAAGACTCACTAATAGCTACATACCGTTCTACGCTACTTAGCAAATCAAGAGTTTTCTGCAATGTGCTTACTACTTGAAAAGAGGTTCTCTCTTGTTTTCCCCCACTCAAGCAACGTTTGGGTCTTCCCGTAGGAAGTGGATTGTGTAACGGTGCACCAGTCCTGCCCTGAGATGCAGGAACAGGCTGGACCGTGGGAGCCCCAGCCAGGGCACGGTGATGCTCAGACACTTGAAACTTTGTGACTGGTCTCGTCACAAGCTGATGCAGCTTATTAAGTCATACCCGTATGTGTCTGGTGCATTTTGCTCCAGTCTTCTCTAAATGTCAGGCCAGTTGAGTGGGGAGGGAGAAAAGCCAGGGGACTAAGCCAGGGGACTTTGGGAAGGTTATGTTAAGGATCCTTTGAAGAGGAATGGGTAGAGCCATTCCACAGAAACCCTGGTCCTGTGAAAAGGTATAAACAGCTCCTTCTCAAATTAATAGTGGGAAACCATAATATATAATTAGGTTGAAAATTCAAGCTAATCTGAAAGAAATGTAGCTAAAATAAAATATTAGTGTCTTGGAGAGGTGGTTTCTGCTCAGCTAACTGGGCTTGAATATACTTTCAAATGTTGGTTAGAAAAGGCAGCGACAATACAGAAAATGCAATCTTTCCACAGCAGATGTGGTTTTTAAGTATCCTGTTTAGGGACATTCACTGGCAAGTTTGACTTATATTATTTTATCTGAAATTGATCCCAGATTGTTTCCAAAGATTTTAGTAGTATACAGTACATGGATGCCAATAAAAATAACAATGCTGGAAAAAAAGGTTTGCTGAAAACATTTTTAGTCAAAAATTTAGATTCAGTAAATAGTATTTAAAACAATAAATTATACTCTTCTCAAGATTAGTGCTTCAACATGTGCTTGAAACTGAAACAAAAAACTTCTAGGGTTTTTGTTTTTAAATAGCAGAGCCACAGAACTGCTGGGACTAATCAGTAAAATAATCAAATGAAAGTAAGTTTTAGCATAGCTGGCAGTCATCTGTCACTGAGTCAGTAGGAACTGAGACTAAGGAATATCTGTTTATGGCGTCTCTTTGCTCTTGATTGTTTGCAAATTGAAATTAGAACTTTACATTTGAATTATCTGGAAAAAAAGGGTTTGCAAAACAAGGTCATTCAGTATTTGACAAAGATGCAAAGTGTTTGACAGCTTCTGAAGGTTATATATGAGGAGAATCATCTTTCAGGAAGATCAGGTGTCATCACCATGGAGCTCAGAACTTTTGATATTCATTTTCGAATTATATCCATATTTTATGATGCCAGGCATTTTTTGTAACATACAGGATTTCCTGTAACATTTGCACAAGAGTCTGTTGCACGTGAGGCACCATAATTTTCTGCAAAAATAAGAGTGCTTTATTCAAGTCTCTAGCATTATAAGGACATATGAGAGCGTAAAAGGTGACAGTAAGGACCTGGAGGTCACTTAGTCTCCTGTGAGGAGCACAACAGCATTCCTCATTGCGTGATGCAGACTTTGCTTCTAACTTTCATTAGCCATTAAAAAAAAAGGAAAAAAAAGTTTCATTCTTGCTTGATAATCATTGTTTTAGGTCTTAAAAGTCACAATTAACTCAAATTCTGGCTGATATGCTTGGCGTATCCAAAATTATTTCTGCTTCTTTTGACTGAAAGCAGCATACAATTCAGGGTTGCTCAGCTTGGTACAGTCCTGCTTTGTAGTTATCCAAATGGCCACATCAAAACTAACAACACCAGAAAAAGTCACACTGCTTTTTTTAAAAAAAATGAAACTGTAGTTTACTGAGAATGAATTATGAATTTCCTAAGAAAACAAATAACATGGATACAAATAAAATGTTATTTTATAACTTCAGTAATAGGGAGTTGAGATCTATCTTTTTCTGGCTCTTAAATGAAGGGTAATTGTTTAGAACTCTGGAATGATCACATACAACATCTATAGTAAAGGTATATAAGCTAGAATTAGGAAAATATCTTTTGGGCATCAGTTATGACAATTCTGCTTTGCAGTCCTCCTTAGAAGCACCATTTTGAATTAAAGTATCATCTTTAGATATTTAACATTGTGTAGTTAAAACAACTGCTCAGTGACTAAGAATGGATGACCAGATTGAAAGGAATTTAGATCACTTTCCACACTGAATTAAACTTGAAGTTTTCTCTGCACCTAGAATAGCAACTCTTCCTCTCTACAAGTTATTATTCTTTTCCAAATGTATATGTCAGGTGTGGTGGTTTGAACGGCTCAGGGAAAGTCACAGATTGGAAATTTTGTGATAGTCTAAGTAAAAAACCATTTTTTTTCTTCACAGTCCTGAAGCAATCCACTAGTTTTAGGCAGTAGATGTAGATGTGACAGAGGCTTCCTAGCATGCAGCCTTTAAAACAAACCTGTGCTACTCAGTTTTTTAAAAAGTGAAAAGTTAGGGGAAACAAGCTGTCTGGGAATCAGAGCTGGCAGCCCCAGTCTGCAAGGCAACGAGTAGACTTTTCCCTGCGTGGGTTATCTCTCCACCAGCCTGGGCAATCAGGTAGCTCATGGCAATTAGTCTTAATAAGGCAGTAGGGTGTTCCTAGGTGGAATAGCTGAGTCTACTAATTGTTGGCAGCAGCTTCGGGGGTTCTGGCTGCTTGCGTTTAATGGGAGTCATATGACTTCATGCTCAGTTGTCGCTTGTTAACTTGACCTTTCCTTTTAAGTGTGGGAAACTAGACAGTGCAGCAGCTTTGCTTTAAATTCTTCCTATAGCAGCACACAAAGAGTAGAAGTTTACAGAAGCGGAAATACTCTGTGATGGGTACTTGAGTTCGCTTTTCCCTTTGAGTAATTATTAGTTGGATGCAGGAAAGTTCTTGGATACCTACCTAAGTGCTCAGCCCTGTTGTGGCTGGCCTTCAGCATGGCCAAAGAGCAGCTGCATCTGTGGAGTGCAGCTCCCTGGTTGAGGTAGGTGCTGCTAAAGCAGCTCCTCCCAGCAAGTAACGCCACCGTGCTGGAAGGGACGTGGGGGCAGAGGATGCTGTGATGGGTTATCTCCCCAGTGAGATGTTTCAAGGGTGCAGTCAGACTGGGGCCACGGGAACTGTGCATGCAGGTACTGTCTTAAGCAAGTGTAAGCCTTGCCAAAGGCAACAGTCAGGCAGGGTTTGCCTAATTTATCTTAGGGTAGGAAGATGGCAGCCTATGAACTTGGGGTGACTGTTGGGACCAGGATTCAGCCCTGAGACTAGGGAGGTGAAAGAAGAAAAAAGAATTTGTTGTTATGTCCTGTTAGATTCCCTTATTTTTCTTGGTCAGAGTGCAGGGTTGCAAAAGTCCATCCTGATGTATTTAGGCAAAAGGAGAAGAGGGATATTTAAGTTGGCTAACGAACAGAATTGCTGTCAAAAGTAATTTAGATATTGCATAGCCGATCCCGAGTTCTGAATCTGTCAGCTTTTCTAAGGAAAAGGGCTTAGTATTACATGGTTGGAAAGTTTTGGGCTTGGTTTTGCTTTGCTTTTTCCCCTAGTACCTGTGATTTCTATTCGGGAAACAAACAACAACAACAACAAAAAACCCAACAACCCCAAAGAAATACCAAAGCAGCATATCAGCGATTGTGTGAATTCAAAAGCAACAGAACATACTGCAGAAAATATTGTAATGGGAAATCAATCAAATTTGCACTCTCACCTTTGCAGTAATTTTGAGCACAAAATTTCAAGAAAAATACTGACAAAAAGATCAAAATGCAAATTGGATCTTGGTTACTGGCAATGTTTAGTGTTTCAACAGCCATTAGATATGACAGGATTACAAAGGCAGATGAGGAAGCTTTAAGGAGAAAAATACTATTCAGTCCCTCTTGGAGAAGTGGAAGCTGTGCATCACGTCCAACAGGAAAGGCAGCACTACCACAGCTACACCTCAGAGCTGGGGGACTCTGGGGAAGGGAGCCAGAGATTAACAGCGGCCGGAGAGAGGGATTCTGACTCTGGTTTCCTAGTTGGCAATGATGAGGTGAAGTCCTTGTTCTGCTACCTGCCCAAAGGGTTTGGCTGTGTTTGGTTTGTTGTTTGTTTGTTTGTTTGTTTCTAATCCACTGCTTATCTACTGCAAAAGCCATAAACTGCCCAAAACAGGGATCAGGTGCTGTAACTCCCCTGAGGGTGTCCCCATTGCTAGGTGACAGTCTTTTCGTTCACAGTGTGCGTGGTGTTGTGGATAACTGGGGACTGTGCCGTTCGCTAGAGGGGTGCTGCGCTGGGCTGCTTCTCTGCAGCAAGCAGATGTTTTTGTGAATTCTAAGAATTGTGTTAGAGGTTTCTGAACAAGTGACACTTCTGAGGCATTCAGTGGTAGAGAGTACTCTTGGAATTAAACGAGTGATGAGTGGCAGATGCATTGTGTGTTAGGATAATAATATAAAGTCATCAGACACAAGATACCCAATTTGTTCTCATTTACAGACAACCTAGAAAGCTGGGTTTCTGTTCGCTAGGAAATTTTTCCGACCTAACTTTGGTTCCGCTTAGTTGGAAGCAAACAAACAAAAAGAACTCAAAATTTGTTGCAGACTAAGTTGCTGAGGCCTGCAGATGCTCAGTGATACTGATACTCCTCTTGCTTTCACCGAGCAGCTGCAGGGAGCTTCCAGTTCCCTGACTCCAAGGGAAATTTGGCAGTTTAGTTTTCTTTTTCTTGTCCACTCTGCATTCAGACCGTAGAAACTGAGAAGTCAACCTGGGATCAGTATGAGGTAAAAGTACGATTCTGCACTCATGCTTTAATTCGTTTGTTAATAAATCTGTTAGAATGCAAGCTACCTCCCACACAGATGAGATTAGTTCCTCCATTCACAGCAGGACTCAAAAACTGTAGAACAACAGGACTCTGGGGCTGACCTCAGCTGGGAAACCTAGAAGCATAAGGTCCTTAACTCTAGAAATCCAGTCCAATTCCGCAAATCCAAAAAGTGACTAAAAAGCACACATTTTAGGCTCATGTTACAGCGCTTCCAGCTAGCATCATGTGATATGGCAAATCTGTATCTGTACCATGAGTACCTGCCTAATCCTTGAATGCATTCCTTTTATTCCTCTCTAGAACGTTTCAGTGCTAGAAAATCACCACTGGCGATCTACGATAGGCATGCTTCGAGAGTCACGGCTCCTCGCCCATCTGCCCAAGGAGGTGACGTAAGTGTCTGCTGGAGGAAATACATCACTGAAACTAGTCCATGGCTTCCTTCGCTCTTCTTGAAAGCACCCTGGCAGAGAGGCCCAGGCTTCAGAGTAGGCTGAACTTCCTGCCCTCTCTTGGTGATTCTGTGGTGCCAGTATGAAATCATGAGACAAAGTTACACAGCAGAAATATTTTCTAAGACTTTGCCACTTCTGCAGCACAGGAATGGCCACTGTCAGCACTGGGAACATTGGGAGTCCCAGCAACAAATGGATCTTTTCAGATGCATTGTTGGCATTGTTTTACATAGCACCAACCAAATATGGAAAGATTTAGTGATTAAAAAGCATGAAAGAGAAAAATTGAGGAGGTGGTTGAGTAGCATGGAGACTGCTCAGGACTTCCACACCTGACTGAGGAGGTGTGGTTCAGTCTTCATCATCTTTTTGGGTAAAGCAAAAAAACCCCGGCAACCTGAGCACCTTGGCCAAGTTGATGCTAATTTTTTACCTGCTGGTGTTGTGCAGTGTTATTCCCACCAGGGAATGGAGATTGAGCCAATGAGCAGGCTGCAATAGTAAGTTTTAATCACAGGTGACCATACCAAGAATATAAACAAGTTACCTGGAAGCGCTAAGATCTGTATCCCTCCAGAAATCCTTTGCTTCAGACCAGCAACTTCAGTCTTCCTTTAAAGGACTTCAGTCCAGTCCTTTACAACTTCAGCTGCAACTTCAAGGTTGCAGTATTCTGCACCCAGCTCTGGGCAGCTGAAGTAAGATGTGAGCATTTTTCTAGATGCATCATGCTGTTGTTTTGTGGGTTTTTTTTTACTTTTCCAGCACTTCTCAGAAGCTTTCAGAACAAGCTATGCCAACAAGCGTTTTTCTTCTACATTATCTATTCCTCCTGAACCCATTTAGGCAGGTAGAACAGTTGCACCCTGCAAATCCCAGCAGAGACTGACCAAACGGATAAGACCGCATCCATGAAGAAAGAGGAAGCTTTATACTAGCTATGATCCATAGCAGGTTGTTTTGAGCTATTAATGTTCAGTGGTTCTGTGATTGAAGGGGCTTATTTTCCTTAATTGCAGGCAGGACATCGAGCAGCAGTTGGGCTCCCTGATCTTGGCAACAGACATCAACAGACAGAATGAGTTTTTGATCCGTCTGAAATCTCACCTTGACAATCAGGATTTGAGGCTGGAGGATGCACAAGACAGACATTTTATGCTTCAGGTAACTTTTAAGTATTATTTTTCCGCTATTGTATTTTATTCGTTTTTCAAGTCACAGTATTTGCTAATATTCGTTAGAATAGCATACGATAGTGTGTCTGGACACCAGTGTCTCGTTACCTATCACCGTAAACACTTTGCTTCAGCCACCTGGTGGGTCAGGCAAACATGAGGTACCTCCAATATTTCCTTATGTAATTTCCTTGTGTTAAAAAGCTGTGAATGCAACAGATACAGGAGAGTGTCAAACGCTGAGAAATTAAGATAAGCTATTAATTATTTTATTTCCAGACCACTATGTCTCTTGCCAAGTAATGCTTTGATTATATTTTCTCTTCTGGCAAACATCACTTCCCTGGTGTTATTTTCTAGCGCTGTGCAGAGGAGCCCCCTTGTCGGTGTTCTCTCCAAGACATCCTGACATCAGGTGCCCAAGTCCGGTTCCCCTGATGGATGTTCAGAAACTGCCTCTGCAGAGACAGCTGTTGCCATGGCAGCAGGTGCTTCTCTAGTGGATCTGCCCGGCTAATGAAGAAACCATGCTTTATTTAAAAATCAAATAGATTCAAACTGGTTCTTCCAGCTAAGCTGCAGTCACTAACAGGCTCTTCAGAATAAACCTCTACCTATTAAAGCATTATTGTGATTAAAGTAGCTGCATATACATGCTTCTCTGCAGAAATGACATCAGTTTTGCTCTTAAATACATAAAGGAGCTTAATTGTTATCGTTAACAAGACAAACAACTACGTGTTCACACTTCTCGAGGTTACAGGAAAGGTGACAGTTGCAAGGAAAGAAGTGCTGATCTGTTAATTCTTACCCCTGCAGCAGCGTGGGAAGCGTAGTAATCTGCTTGCCTGTCCTCCATCAAACATGGTCTTCTGTCAGATTCCTGCATGGACCGTGCAGGGCAGGGTGATGGGCTTATTGTATTTCTGGACAGATTAGGCGAGAAAGTTGTGCAAATGCCAAAGGCACAGGGATTACAAATCTCAGCTATGGCAAAAAGTTTCTTACGTGCTTTCTTGAAGATAGGAATGTGGGCACAGACATGGTGAGATTTCTTTACCTGGTGGATTAGTTGTGGAAGAAAAGAAAAAAAAATGTCAAGAAATCTTGATTGATCAGGATAAGTTAAAGGATGTTCGAAAGGTGCAATTAAATAGACAGTAACATTAAAGCGAATCAATTTGATCCAGAGAGAAAAGTGCCTTGGAGACTTCTTCCCTCCTCCAGTTCGCAGGTCTGAGTTTATACAGGAAATATTTCTTATGTTTTCCTCCCGGGTGCCAGAATGATTTCTGACCTCTGTCAGGCTAACTGACTGTGTTCAATCTGTGAAGAAATGAGGCACATGACATCTTGTTCCAAGGCAATAACACAGACAGACTATTACATGGTTTACTTTTCTGAAGCAGTTACTTGATTTTAAAAACCTCTTGCCCTCCTGACTCCTTCCCCAGCAAAGCACTTAAAAGTACTAGTTAACTAAGTGAAACCAAGCCAGGGGCAGTGCAGAGGGCCCTGTGCTCAGCTTTGTAAACAAAAATATGCAGACATTAAGATGAAGTGTAATTGAAGTGAGATGCAAGGTCACTCACTGAGACCGCAGAGAAACGATGCCCAAATACACCAGCTTGGCTCTTCGCTTCCTTGTCATCAGCCACGGATGCTGAGCCAGGCAGTCAGCAGGAGCCAGCCTGAGGCTTTTGTTGGCTTATTCCTTGAAAGGAATATCCAAAAGACTTTGCAGCCTTGGAATTTGGCCCTCCTCTTGTTCTCACTACGGTAAAGCAGAGGGCTGAATGAAAGTTTTGTTGGCGGCTTAAATAAATGCTCTTTCCTCAAAAGGCATATTTGGGTGAGTCTGAGTCTCTAAAAGGTGATCTTAACCCTTCCCAGCATCACTGCTGAGGCCTGGAAGTTTCATGACTGATTGATTTACTGCTGAAGCGCGGCTAGACACCGCTACTTTTCTCACCACTACTTTTCTTCTTTGCTTTCAGATTGCACTCAAGTGCGCTGACATCTGCAACCCTTGCCGGCTCTGGGATCTGAGCAAACAGTGGAGCGAACGGGTCTGCGAAGAGTTTTACCGGCAAGGTCAGCCCCTTCACGCGCGGCGGTCCCCTTTCACCTCCGCTTTCCCGGCTTTTTGTGTGGCGAGACAGAGGTAGCATTCAGCCTACCCAGTTTGCCTTGAAACCTCCCCCAGGAACGAGCTGTTGAAGAGATACTCATTTGAAAAGTGGGAAGGGATAAAAGAGCGGCAAGTAGTTATTTGCCCTCGCTGCTCCTGTAGCAGTGGGAGGGCGGGCTCTGCTGCACCCCGGCGCTTGAATTTGGCTGGAGAGCCCACGGCTGTATTCTTCTCTGAGAACCCTCTGGTCACCATTAGCTCTTCTGAGCTGGAACGGCGCCAGGGCTACACTGCACCAAAATCCTACTGCTGTCCACTGTGTTTTATCTCGCTTTTCACGCTCCCGCTACAACTCTGATGGGAGCCTTACCCTCGCCATTTCCCGAATATGACACATTCTTCTGCACACAAATGCAGAGAAAGGCTTCAAACGCAGTTCCCAGCACGCCGAGCTCTTCTAATGCTGTTGAAAGGGCCAAAGTAGGCAAGCCAAAGCTCAGCTAGGACCTATTGCAAATGTTTTCAAACCCCTGCAGGGAGTGCAGTCAGGCAGGGATTTTTTTTAAGCGCAGTAATTACACCATTTGGCTCTATCTGCATAGGCAAGGTCATGCTGTGCTACAACACAGGGTGCAGCAGAGTTTAATCACTGTTAAATTCTTTGTTCGGAGCATCCTGAGAGCTGAAGGCAAGTGGTACAAACACTGGAAGAGCACACAGTGAAGTTCTCGATTCATTTGAAATTCTGCACTATGAAGTGAAGCCCCATCTGAGCTGGTACCTACTACAGTTAGTCCGTAACGAGGACAAATATGTCAGCAAGTTAATTTTCAGCCAGTGTCAGCTTAAGCTGCTGAAATGTCTTTGACTTTGATGCTTTTGAAGCAACATAAACAACTTTCCAGATGCAGGTTTATTTAGTCAGATGTATAGTCGAGGTGTAATCAATATCCAAGTTGTGAGGGCAGGGCCCCAGTTGTGTGACAGATCACCATTAGTGTATTGAGGGACCACGCTGAGAATGGCAGCGTTCAACCCTTACGAACTTAAGCTTTTCCCCCAAAACTCAAGATTTATTAGTACAACATCTAAAGTATTCTTCTGAAAGGGGACACTGGAGCGTATGAGACCAGTTAGAAGTGTAACAAGGAGAAAAAGAGCATTTCATGTGGGAGAATATACAGAAACTGTGGTCTGACTGCCACTGGGGCTGTATAATCCTGGTAAGAGGTGCAAAAAACTCTATTAAATACCATGTATTTAGATACCATTATCACTTTAAAATGTTATTGCAGACCTCTCTAAGCGCAACGGTGGGGCTTGAAGATATTCTTTGGCATTAAGTTTAATATTTGAAAACCATAGCTCTCATGTTTTGATTTTTAACTATAGATGAGGCAGATAATACGACAATTAGTGCCTTGTTTAATCTTCCTTCTGGAACGCATACAAAGTTTCAACATTTTTTGTATCAAACATCTCCAATGCCTTTCTAAAACACCTCAGGGAGTCTCATTCACCCATTGCCATCCAGACAACAGTCACTTGTCCTGCTGGAGAGATTGCATTTCCCCATGCAAGCAATTACACTGTGGAAAGGTTGCTGTAAATTAGTTAGGTTTTGGGTTGTGTCTTTTTTTTTTTTAAACAAACACTCTGTCTGTGAGTGCAACACATTCATCCTTAGCCTTCTCGGAGACACTGCCAGGGTACAGTCCTGGGTACTGCATGAGGTACAGGACCTTTTCTGTCTACAGCATGGGAGGAAGGGAGGGAGGGAGATTAACTGTGTGCAAGCTAAGATGTGCCACTTGCCCTCAGACAATAATATTTCATCCATTTGATTTACTAATAAGAATGTAGTGAGGGCTGATTATGCAAAACTTTCCCAAGTAAAAGGGACCTGCTAGACCAGACAAAACAACCCATAAAGAAACATTTTGCTTTAAATCCACTGGTTTTGTTTGAAAGCTCTTTTCTCCCCACTAACAGACAGTTAGACTTAAATGACAGTCAATAGCAATGATCGTGCTGGACTACGCTCAGGAAAACCTTCCAAGCAATTTTAAAACCTCACCAGAGAAACAGATCGTTAATGTTGCTTAAACATTAGCCATTTTCTTGAAACTTGTTTCTTGCCAGTTCCAGTTTTATATAAACAAATCAAGTTGCATTACTTACCCTGTATTCCTAATTGACTTTTAAAACATCTTAGAACAAGTTAAAGTATTTTTCTAGGAAAGGTTTGCGTTTGGAACTGCTGTAGGCATCAGGCACTCCCTGAAACGTACCTGAGTTGTATATTTTGTTTGCTAATAGATGTAGTGTAGATGCAGCAGATTGACTGGAAGATCAGGATCTGAGTCTCTATTAGAAGGGCTTTAGAAGTGTGTGTAATGTCATGTCATTCTTACGTCCAGCTGGTCTGTGGTCCTCTATGACCACTCCAGCATAGGCATGATCCTTGCTATTGATGACCTTCAACTACATAAAAAAACATCTCCTGTCTTAGCTATATATGGAAGACTGACCATTGTGTGACCATTTCTGCATCTGCAGGAATAGTTGCTACCAACTGTTTATAAGCATCTTCTTGATGCCAGATTTGGTCAATGCTGCAGCAGGAGCAGTCTGAGGTGGCATCTGGAGCGAGCAGATCCCCCAGCCAGGCTGTTCTTCAGCAATTCGAAAGAGAGCCTGGGGCCAGTCACAGCAGGAGCTGCCTGCAGGAATCTTCAGGGCAGTCCCAGATTTGCACCTAGAGACCTCTTGCTCCAGTGAGTCAAATACTCTGCTGTGAAGGTGACTAGGAGTTCAGTCAACCTCTTCGTCTTAAGTCTTTCTGCTGTCTCAGGTCAATCCTGTGCAGATGACTCTCTGGGCACTCCTTGGACCACCCAGGGAATTAGTGATGTAAGTTTGGTGCAGCAGCACAGGCGTAGCCCTGATACCCAGCTACACCACAATAATAAGACAAACTTTTAATTTCAACCATTTTCCACTTTTATAACTCGAAGTCCATAGCTCTTGACACAGGAAAACATTGCCCAAGCCCGAACTCTGGCCCTTATTAGTTTGTTAGTGCAGATACAGCTGCAGACCGCCATGCTCCATCACGCTGCCCTTTAACAGCCATTTCCACAAGCACACAGTAGCAACTCACATTACACTACTAATGGAGACACGTTTCTTCTCAAATTTATATTCTGCAATTTTCTAGTAGGAAGACGTTTGAACAGTGAGTAAATGAACTAGAATGTCTTAAAAATCTTTCATGTGAGAAAATCTATTTTAAAAATTAAGGTGCTCAGAACACGTAAGTGTTCAGATTTAATGTTCATTCAAAAGTCATCTTTCCTTAGAGAGATTTTTTCTTTGTATACTCAGTTTCTCTGATACCTAAAAAGGAAAAGTCCAAAAAATGAAGGTATTTAGACATTTAACATGGTCATCATCGGTGGAAGGTTCCAGCTGCTGAAATCCACACAGTTGCAGTCACTCAAAGAGTCTGGCATAGGTATGGAGAAGAGATAAAAGTGGCAGAAAATTATTTTTTCTTTTTTTTTTTTTTTTTTTTTTTGCAGGTGACCTGGAACAAAAATTTGAACTGGAAATAAGCCCCCTTTGTAACCAGCAGAAGGATACAATACCAAGCATACAGATCGGTAAGTATTAGGTTAATTCTATTCTCTCCTAGTTTATCTCAGTATGGCACAATCTAGTTGTTTTAACAATAAAAACTGCAGGTACCATAATAGTCAAGTTTCATATTCAAAGTCAAAATGTTCAAAAAGAAACCTAACCAAGCCAAACATTCAATAGAAAGACAAAGGAGTTACTGCGTGGTATAGGGGCAAAAGGGGGCCATTCTGCTATCTGTGGAGAACAATTGCAGCCAACGTGATCAAATACTGGTTACTTTCTAGTCTGAAATCTCCTCAGAGGAGGATGCTGTCTCTCACAGATTTTGCTGTTACGCATACAGATAGACCCTCATCTTGTCATATGTGCTGGTCAAAAGCTGTGCATTTCAAAAGGAATTGATGGCTGCTGGGGGTTTTATTGTTATTTCTCATCAGGGTTTTTGCCGTTTATATTGCCGTATCCTCTCGAGGCACTCTGTGGGGCAATGCACTCATGGAATGAATTTGTTCCTCACCTGCTGTCTTTCGTGTGTTTCCCCAGGGTTCATGACGTACATCGTAGAGCCACTCTTTGAGAGGTGGGCCCAGTTTACAGGTGATACCCCCCTATCTGAAAATATGCTAAACCATCTCAGGAGGAACAAGGCCAAGTGGAGGAGTTTGCTCCACAAGCAACACAGCAGTAGTAGGAGCAATGACCACTCAGGTCAAGTGACTGGCAGCCAAGAACAGACTTTAAATGAAGAAGAGACTCCTTAGTGGCAGCTTTGCACTTTTCCTTACAGCACTGCTATCTCTGTCTTGATCACAGCAGCAAGCAAAATCCCGGGGAGCTAGGAGCCTCTTCAACACTGCGGAAAGGGAAGAAATGGCAAAGCAGAAGCTGTGTAAGGGTCCTCACGAACAAACCCGCGGTTCTGCTGGGTTCCTTTCTGGATCTCCTTTGCGTTCCTCTCCCCTCTCTTCCTTCTGCGCATGCCTGATGCCATTTGTCACTTCTGGTCATGAACTGCCTGAATGCAGAGTCCCAGTCAGCAGTACTCAAGCCGGGCCGGTTACGGCTGCCGTGAAGCAGGGAGGATTACTGAGACAACGGGAGAGATACAGGCACTCTTGGTCATATATTCATTTACCACGAGTCATACTGTGACATATGTATATAGGCCCAGAGCCCCATATGGTTTCCAGGCTGGCAGCTGGGCTGCACATTAAACCACCAGCATCTTCAGCATCCAGAGGACACGGGCTGAGCGTGACAGCGCTCGCAGAGGGCAGAGAGAGTCTGGTTATTTTAGTAATTAAAACAAAAACCTTTTTAACTTTTGTATTCTGTGCACTAAACAACAGATCTATAAACCTTGGACTGAAGTTACTCTCCGTATACACAACTCCAGTGTAACAAGGCTCATTTTGGTAATCATTTTTATGCCACTTTGGATAAAAGACGGGCATCTTCTCATTGCAAGGAACAGCATTCCCTCGCAACCAAAAGGGAAGGTGCTGTACAGTCTAAACCTTTGAAACACGAACAGATCTATCTTTTGAGTACTGTTTCAAGTAACATGTTTATATTCATACGTGTACATTTTCTGTAAATACAAAGCGCTACTGATTCCCATGCCAAAATACTGGAGTACTGTGGGATTGCTACCTGTAAAAACATTGGCACTGTGAACAGAATACTGTTAGTTTTAATACAAGAGAAAGCATTTGTAAATATGGTATAGAGTTTATTAATATACACCATTGTTTGTGGATAAAAGCCTTAACTTTTAGCATCCTTCATCTTCTGATAGCTGCCAAAATCATATATGGTCACAAGATACGATTCTGAACTGCCTTTCCACTATCCAAGGTGTATCAAAGGTCATTAAGGAATGAAGTCTGCAGGATAACTTCTTGAAAACTTCAAACACATTCCATATGGGTCCGTGTTGTTATCCATGGCACCTTGCACATTTGGTCTAGGCAAATGTTTCACAGAGCCTGAAATTTTAGGTTAAAAAAACCCCAAACCCTAAGCAACGCCACATAATTTGACAGTTCAACCTGATTAACATTTATTCAAGAGTGTGAATTTTTGTTAAATAGCTTAGTGATCTACAAAGCACGACATTCTAATAGTTCCAGAGTCCAATTGTTTTCTCGAGTGATGTTGCAGTGTAGCTGATTTTTTCCCCACCTTCCCTCCTTAGATAACCAGCATTGAAATGCATTTGTTATTTTTCTATTCATTAAAAAAAATAAATACTTCAACTGACTTTTAGATCAGTCTCACTCAATGAAGGAAAAAAATGCATTGTAACCGGATCATTAAGAAAAATAGTCTTAACCATTGTAGTAGCTGAGGAATTTTCTGTGGTCTCATGTTTGTGACAGATACATGGCCTTATCTATGCCATAAACAACCTCAGTTGAGTTAGTCTTTACACACCTTTCCTTAAGCTTCCCTAATTTCAGTGAGATTGTATTCTCAGACATTGTTGCATTGTACCAAAGTGATTGCCCCCCTGCCCCCAGAAAAATTAATTGCATTCAGGTAAAGTGCAGTGGTGTTGCGAACACCCAGTACATCAAATCTGTGTAGCCCTTTTTCAAAACAACTAGCAGATAATGGCCATATAATCATGTGCAGACGTGAATACCTTGGAAAGGCCAACAAAGAGTGAGCTATTAAAGTTGGTGTTTGAGAAAGAGAATGTTTATTCATAAAAGTGCACGGGCCGGTATAGTAGAATTTTTCCCAATTACAGTGACTATTGGCTTGATTAGATGAAGTGTTCATGCTCATAAGGTGACTCATATGTTTAAAGGAAAATAAAAAGCTTAAGTTTTAGTAAAAGATGTTTTACTCTGCTAATTCATTGGACACTTATCTTCAGAGAAAGAGACTGAAACCCAGTGAAGTAGGAAGGTGGAAATCACTATGAGAACAAAGCATCCCGAGAATGATGTTTTTCTCCTCCCCTACTGTTTTGTAAGTGATAAGCAGTAGAAAACATTCTTCTTCCTCCCTCTTCTAAATGCGACTCACATATTAGAAGTACCATAACAAGCAAAGAGAGAGAGTTGTAGTAGCATAAAATTATTTCTAACTACAGGACATAAATGTCTTTTTAACCACCTGATGGTGGGGGCAGGAGCATCACCACTTTGCAGCTTTTTAGGTGTATCTTTCCTTCTCCTGGCAGATTTAGGACAATTATTAGAACATTAAGGGAGCAGTGTAATGGGCTGCTTAGAAGCAGTTAAGTACATACAAAAGGATATAATTTCCCTTGTTTTGTCTTTTTACTAAGAAATGGAAGGCATTTTCCATCTAGTTCAAAGAAAATTTTTTTTAAAGTGTTCTGAAGTTTAGTTAAACAAACCCGGTGTCTAGCAGCATAAAAAGCTCTTGACAGATACATTGTTGAGATGTTTCTGAGGAGCTTCCAGAAAATAGGTCCAACAGGAAAGCTTAGGTACAAATCAAGTTCTGTTACAGCTGCAATAAAGCCAAGACCTTTTCTGCAATTAGAGCCTACAGGGTCCATTATAAGTCTGCTCTAACGAAGTTAAAACTTCCCAACTTTGAAAAGCTGTTAAAATGAACAGGTTGTGGGGTTTTTTTTGGTGCAGTGAACACCCTTGCTAGATATCAATCACCTTGTCTAATGAAACAATGCTTGAAATAGGTTCAGGGTGGCTCCAGAAATGCTGCTGTACTTGTAAGCCAAACCCATTACACGAGTTTGGGTCTGGGCCAGTTTGCCTAGGGTGCTCTAGACAAAAGTGCGCTGAAAAGTTAGGCTCTGGCAGCAGATGCCTGGCAGCCAGATTTACTGGGGTCTGTAATGCAAAATGCTACCATTTGATTTCCCCAAACCGTACCCGATACAGCCAATCCAACAGCACCAGTGCTCGGTATATGCGGTTGCGATACATGTTTGGTATTCTCTAGTTTGGAAGACGTTTCTGTACTGGGATTTCTCCCCAGGATGCCAACAGAATGCTAGATGCACAGAACAGAAAAACATTTATGCAGGTAATCCAGATTTCTGTCTTGTCAGCCCTATTAGCCACTTTCCAGAAAGCCCTTGAAAATCATTTTTCTTTCTTACTTGGCCAGTGCAGCTAAAAGATTCTGAAGTTTTAAAACTGAGTTAGGTTTTTCATATAAGGAAAGAAGCAGAAAACTGCTAAAAGCAGGAGTTTAAAATGCTTTTATGCCCCACAAATACAGTTCACCTGATTAAAACCTAGTTTCTTTAAGTGCAGATTTCATCCCATCAGAGGCAAACTATATCTAAATAACAATAATAACAACAACAACAATAAAAGAAAGTGGTGCTAAATGAAACTTTTAGGCTGATTAAAAAACACATACATATGCATCTTGGTTAAGTAAAGATTTTACCTACCTTTGGTTTTTTGAAGGGTCAATCTTCGACGGGAAAAAAAGGACTATTGGAAACGTGTACCTTTGAAACACAGAAACAGTAAGAGGAGTAGCTTAGATTAAGTCTATGGAGGAAAGAAACTCACCTAATTTGCAGTTGTATTTAACCTAATCTTACAACATGGGCCAATTATTTCTGTATAAACCATTGGTTTTCGTGGAAAAAATCAAAGTCTCCCCAAATGACCAGTGAGAAGGCTGCTGCCACAGTAAATGAGATAAACCGGTTTTCACACTGCATAGCTATCTCACCAGCTTTTCCAATCTGTGGTTGACGTTTCTATTAAAAGTTTCCAACAAAACAGAGACAGAATGCATACCAGCCCTTCCAAATGGACTCCCCTCAGAAAGGAGAAACACTCAAGTAGTTACAATTTTATTTTCAGGTATCAATCAGGGTACCAGCCATAATTTATAGCCTTGCCTTTTAAGTCACTCAGCTGAGCTGTCCATAAAGTACTCCTGATGCCACTTTGCACACATGGCCCACAAAAAAAAAAAAAAAAAAAATTCAATACTTAAATTTGAATTAAGATCCTGCAAATCCAAAAATACCACTCAAAACACAAACCCAAGGCAAGCTCATACCATGAATATTTATCCAAATTACTTTGATTGGTGCAAACTATTATTCTATTATTTGTTTCTATAATCCATCCAATATTTTAGGTACATAAACTTTAAGTGCAGAGCATAAGTTTGACTTGGATGTAAAATATATTCTGCTTATCTTTGAATTCAAGATTGTATATGTCATGTTTATTGTAAAGCATTTTATATATACATATTCATATATCTTATACAACTCTATGGGCCAAACACTGGTCCCACCAACTTCACTGGGACCAAGAATCAGCCCCCATATGTGCGTATATATGCCATATGCATCATTCTGAAAGGAAGCACTAGATTGTGTGAAAATGCTGTGACTGCTATGCAGTGATGCCAAGAGACTTAACTGTATCTTTTTTAACATACTGCTGTAAGTATTCATCATGTCAAAGAATGACAACTAATAAAAAAAAAAAAAAGAAGAATGAAGTGTCCAAAGTTCTTTGGTAGAGTGAGTTGATTGAAAGCATCTCCTTAGTTTGGAGAAAACATTCTGGTTTGACAAAGCAGCAGAAGTCCTGCTGCATCCATCCTCCCACTGCCTCTCCTTCCTACCAATAAAATAATCACTTTCCTAGTGCACTGTTTCCGAGAACTTCTGTCTAAACTTATCCTTAGCACTGCTGTAGGAATTTAAATGGAGTTACCAGCAAGGAAAGTCTTTCCATATCTTTCTCCTAAGCACATAGTAGAAGGATTTTGAAACCCCAGGGAAAATGTTTCCCTGTTTAAGTATTTAAAGCAGCAGTTTTCATCTTTTACTACTGTTTCGGTTCCAGTAACTAGTTCTCCTTAGTATTAGTAGTCAGTTTCAATATCTGTTTTCTCATTTCTTAGTTGCAGGCCATGTTATACATGATATGTGCGACATGACAGGCACTTGTAAAGTTTAATTGAAAACATGGGAAGTATTGCCATTTTACACTGCTAAGTATTTCTAAGTGAGAAATACCTGTCATCGCTGATGGGCGTTTGCCACTGCAGGGACTCTTCTTCTTGACTTTGAGGTACAAATAAATTCTGGTTTTAGAAATGTATCAAATTCTTTAGTAACAACACTCACATAGTTTGCGCAGCACAAATGCTACAATTGAACTGAATATAGGAGCTGGAAATATATTTGGTTTCAGTGTTATTTAGCCAATATTTTAAATTCACTTTCTTAAAAGAAAACAACAAAAAACCAGCATTCAGCATCATAACAAAGTGTTGTCATGTGTCCTCCAGATGCAAGCTGAATTGCAGAATA